GCAACCTCCGCCTCCCGGGTTCAGGCAATTCTCCTGCCCCAGCCTCCTGAGTAGCTGGGATTACAGGCACGCGCCACCATGCCCAGCTAATTTTTTGTATTTTTAGTAGAGACGGGGTTTCGCCTTGTTGACCAGGATGGTCTCGATCTCTTGACCTCGTGATCCACCCGCCTCGGCCTCCCACAGTGCTGGGATTACAGGCTTGAGCCACCGCGCCCGGCTGTGTATTAGGTTTATCCCTGAGCTTTCCATTCTGTTCCAGTGGTCTATCTGTGCATGTACTGTTACTATATTGTTTTGATCATAAAGACTTTATAGCATGTTTTAATATCTGGTAGTGCTAGTTCCCCTTATAATTTTTTTCCAGTGTTTTCTTGGGTATTCTTTTTTTTTTGAGGAGGAGGCAGAGTCTTGCTGTATGGCTCAGGCTGGAGTGCAGTTGCATGATCTCCACTCACTGTAACCTCTGCCCTCTGGGTTCAGGTGATTCGCCAGTCTCAGCCTCCAAGTAAGTGGACTGCAGGTACACACTCCCATACCTAGCTAATTTTTCTCTTTTTTAGTAGAGACAGGGTTTTGCCATGTTACCCAGGCTGGTTTCAAACTCCTGGGCTCAAGCCATCCTCCCGCCTCGGCCTCCCAAAGTGCTGGAATTACAAGTGGGAGCCACTGCGCCCAGCCCTTCTTGGCTGTTCTTGCATGTTTGTTTTCTTCCTGTGAATTTTCTTATCAACTTACTTAATTCTATGAAAGACGCTTGTCGGAATTTTTGTTGAAATTCTATCAAATGTGAAATGAACTTAGAAGTGATATTTTTATAATGCTGCTATTTTGTCTGAGAGCAAAGGATGCATTTCCATTTGTTCAAGTCTTATGTGTCTTCCAGCAGGTTTTACAGTTGTCTTCATGTAGGTTTTACACATTTCTTGGTAAGTTTAAGTATTTAATCTTTTTGTTGCTATTGTAGATGAGGTTTTCTCTTATATCCTCTGGTTTTGTTTCTGTATGTTAATTTTATATCCTGCTACCTAACTGAATTATTGTTTTAGTTTTATTATTGCTTCTCTAGGGTTTTCCAAGTATACTAATCTTATTAGATGAAAATAAAGATAGCTTTACGTCTTCTTTACCAACTCGTAAGGCTTTGTTGATTAGTTTTATCTAGTTGCATGGGCTGGTATCTCTACACAGTGTTGAACAGCAGTAGCGATAGTGACTATCCTTGTGTCATTCCTAATCTTAGTGGAAATGCCTCTTGTGTTTCTCTGTTAAGTAAGATGCTGGATTTATCACTAAGGTGTATGTGTGTGCATATATATATATATATATATATTTTTTTTTTTTTTTTTTTAATTGTGGTGGTAGATTTTCTGTCTAGTGCTGTTTTTTTGACTGTTTTCATCAGGACTGTGCATTTACTTTTGTAGGCTTTTTCAGCATCTAGAAAGGTAATCATATGAATACTTTAGATCTGTTAATATATATGGTTCATGATATTAATGAGCTTCCCAATATTGAACCAATCTTACATTTCTGAAATAAATCCCACTGGTTTTGGTGTGTTGTTTTCTTAATATGATGTTGAATTCTCTTCGCTAATAATGATTTCTTAGTTGATTCATGTTGAGTTAGTAGTTGAATTAAACTGTTTACAGAGCACAGTTGCCTGCAAAGTTTACAAACACATTTCAGGTAGAACAGGTACCTTTGCTGATTCATACCATTGTTATCACATGATCAACCCATTCAGGATTTTTAAAACTAGGTTGTACTTATTTCCTTTTCTTTTTCTTCTTTTTGTGAACTTTAGACTTGTGAAGGTGGTATCTATTTAGATGACTGGCTGTGATAAGTGTTGATTATAACTGTCTGTGAAAGTCACAGTATCCCTAAAGATATTCCACTTGGTTTCTTATATAGCAATTCAGTTGGCCCAGCTATATGCATCTTTGTTATTACAAACTAATAAAACATACTCCTTCTACCATAGTTGCTATTTGAGAAAGGCTGGCATCTCCTGTAATGAGGTGAAGCAGTTGGGCAGAGCTGCATGCCCACTGCATGTGGGTGCAGCTTGAGAAGCAGGATCCTCGTATGCCTGGTGCTCTCAGGGAGGCCATCTTGGGTCATGTCTTGTCTGAAACGCTTGTCTCTTGCCTGTGTTTTCTCCTGTTGGAGCATAGCTGACACCGCTGCTCCACTAGGAGTGATGTGAACCCAACACAAACTCAGTTCAGATAAGGGGAAACCATGAAACCAGTAGAATTGCAGGAGCACTTGTGTCAGCACCGTGACACAAATTATTTTGTCAGCGTCCCCAGCAAATCTCCCAGGCCTGGTGCTTTAGGACTCATGGGACTCAGTCTGTGGTCATATTCACAGCTAAGATACGTCATAGTGGCACAGCAAGGATGCATAGCAGCTCTGTAAGGGAAAAAGATGCCTCACACAGAGGGAGCCTGGAGAAATCCAGGCATAGCTTCCTAAGCTCTTCCCTCCCTTCTGCCAGGCAGGGTCTCACAGAGCTGACCCCTTTTCAAGCAGCAGACTGCATTGAGACGTGTACATGTGTGTGCCCAAGGAAGCCCTGTAGAGACTCTAGGGCTGGTCACGTACTCATTCTTTACCAGTCACAACTCCCAGAGCGCCAGACTTGCAAAAGCAGAGAGGTGTTCCCCACACATCACAGTATTTGTACAGACAGCAGGCTGGCAAAGAGGCCTTACCTGTGCACGAGCATTCCAGAGCCTAGTTCCCAGATGCCAGCCTAGGGCAGCCCTGTAAGCAAGCCCTTCTGAAGCTTGGTCTGCTTTGTGAACTCTTTCTTGTACAGGTGTGTTGCTTTATTGTAGTTTTCTCATATGGTCTACTCTAACACTGTATTCTTTATTTCAGTTTGAGCCCCAGCTACATAGATCTGACTGAGTGTCCCTACATGTGGCCCTACTGCTCCCAGCCCATCTACTATGGAGGAATGCCGACAATTGTTAATGTCACCATCCTCAACGGCATGGGAGTCACAGGAAGAATTGTAGATAAGGTGAAACTTCTCTCTGACTTGGTCTCTGATTGATGGTGAACTTAGACACGGCCCAGACCTTTAGGCCGTAGTTACTTATGCTGAAGTTAAAAAAGGAAAGGTTCTAGGCTGAGGAGGGAAGGTCACTTGAGCCCAGGATGTCAAGACCAGCCTGAGCAACAAAGTGAGACCTGTCTCTACAAATAATAAAGCAATTAGCCGGGGATGGTGGTGCACACCTGTGGTCCCAGATACACAGGAGGCTGAGGTGTGAGGATCACTTGATTCTAGCAGGTGGAGGCTGCAGTGAGCCAGCATCGTGCCATTGCTCTCCAGCCTGGGTGACAGAGCAAGACCCTGTCTGGAAAAAAAACAAAACAAAACAGAAATAGCCCTGTCTAGGGTACCAGGGCTATTGGATGTAGTGGTTTGTTATATCCTAAGTCTGTTACAGAATAAGTCAAGATCAAATTAATGAAACCAGTTTTACTTTTTACATCTTGAATTTGGTTCCTGAGTCAACTAATTATATTTGATTCTTTACAATTTCATTTCATTTCTGTTCTTCATCTGTACACTTTTGCCCCTATAATTCAAGGCCCAGTTGTAATATTTCATTATTATTATTATTATTATTATTATTGTTATTTTTGAAGACAGAGTTTCACTCTTGTTGCCCAGGCTGGAGTGCAATGCCGCGATCTTTCGGCTCACTGAAACCTCTTACTCTGGGTTCAAGTGATTCTCCTGCCTCGGCCTCCCAGGTAACGGGGATTACAGGTGCCTGCCACCACGCCCAGCTAATTTTTTGTATTTTTAGTAGAGATGGGGTTTCACCATGTTGGCCAGACTGGTCTCGAACTCCTGGCATTACAGATGTGAGCCACCATGCCAGCCAGTATTTTATTCTTTGATGAGTATAAATAGGCCTTTGTGTTTGGAAGATGCGGTCTGTTTTTTAAATACTGTTTTGTACATTTTTGAAAATCGTACTGTGTAGATATCATAATAATGAAAAATAGAAAAGAATAGAAAACTGACTTCCAGCCTCAGCATACTAACTTGGCTGCTTTTTTAAAAATATTCTTTTCCACTTGATCTGCAATACTTATTTTTTGTTATTGTGCAGTTGGCAAAAATTTACAATTTTTTTGGTAGTTTTCATTATATCGTAAACATTGAAAAATTCAGTTATATGCATGGCACCAGTATACTTCTTAATGGTTGTTTATATTTAGAAATAATAAATCATAATTTGTTTACTATTTTTCTTTGAACTATTAGGTAGTTTTCAACTATAAATATTTCACTGAATATTTCTGCATATATGGTTTTCTTTTCTTTTGAACTATTTCCTTAACATAAACTCCCTGGATTCGCTCCCTGACTCAGAAGGTGTGAGCATTCAAGGATTACTCTTGGCACGTCCTACCAAATTCTGTCCAGTAGAGTATGTCAGCTTAGACTGCTGCTGGTGGGGTTCAGGGGGAAGGTGTCTCCACTAGACCTTCACTGGGTGATTTGCCTTTTGAAATTTTTTTATTCTGTTATTGTTTTTAAAACTTGAGATAAAGGCTGGGCGCGGTGGCTCAAGCCTGTAATCCCAGCACTTTGGGAGGCCGAGGCGGGTGGATCACGAGGTCAAGAGATCGAGACCATCCTGGTCAACATGGTGAAACCCCGTCTCTACTACAAATACAAAAATTCAGCTGGGCATGGTGGCGTGTGCCTGTAATCCCAGCTACTCAGGAGGCTGAGGCAGGAGAATTGCCTGAACCCAGGAGGCGGAGGTTGCGGTGAGCCGAGATCGCGCCATTGCACTCCAGCCTGGGTAACAAGAGCGAAACTCCGTCTCAAAAAAAAAAAAAAAAAAAACTTGAGATAAAATTTACGTGCCATGAAATTCACCCTTTTAGGTTGTACAGTTTGATGGGTTTTACTATATTCACAAGATTGTGCCAACATCTCCTTCAGGAATATTCGCTGAAAGAAACCTTCTACTCATTATCAGTCACTCCGTGTTCCTCCTCCAGCCCTGGGCAGCCAGTCTGCTTTCTGTCTCTGTGGGTTTGCCTGTTGAACTTTTCCCTTCAATGGAATCATGTCGCTTCTGTGCTTTTGTGCCTGGCTTCCTTCCCTCAGCTTCGGGTTTTCAGTGTTTGTCCACGTCGTAGCGCTGTCAGTGACGCACTGCTTCCCATGGCAGAGTAGCGCTCCACTGGGCGGGGAGCCCACATGGCGTTGACCCGTTCCTCTGTTGCTGGGCATCTGGCTGTTCTAGGTGGCCCATCTTTCAGCTTTAAACTTCGAGGGGAAAATGGGTGCCTTGTGGAATGTGCACTTCAGTTATTTCTGGTGTGGATATCTTTGGTTGTGTTTCCTAATTGTATTTCCTCTTGTATGAGTTATATTTTCATTGCATTGGCCCATTTTTCTCCTGGAATTGGGATTTTCTCTATCATTCCTAACAAGATCATCATGTCATAAAGAAATTAACCGTTGCTGTCTTTTAAGCAAAATGTTTCTCCAGCTGATTTTCTTTTCCCTTTAATATTACTTATTATGGTTTTTTCTTTTTCGTTCTATAAAGTTTTACATTTCAGGTAGTTGAATTTTTATCTTTTATTGTTTTAACAGATGAGAAACTTATCCTTCCAGAGATATAATAAAATTTCAATTTTATTTTTCTACTAATTGTTACGTATATGATTGTTAGATATTGTTTCATCCATATTAATTTGATATGTGTTACAAGAGATGGGCAAAAGCTTTTTACTTGCAAACCAGTGGCCCCAAGAGCATTTATTCAGAATCCCTCTTCTTCCTATTTGGGACGCCATACAGATATTTTTCATTTTCATACTCTTTTCATAACACACTGGCTTACTTGAGGTATAAGTTCTGGCTGTGTGGAGTGTGAGGGAGATGAGTAATTTGGGTTCCTCTGAAATACTGGTTAGTTGCAAGCACTCACTGACGTCTCTTCCAGGTGGCCTCTGCTCACGCTTCCCTGTCTGCTTTCCTCCCACCTGGAGGGTAGAAGCGGTGGTCATCTCACAGCTGAGCCAGCCCTCCCTCCGGCCACCTGTTTCCAGCTTCAGAATGTGACTTGGGACAGCTGATGTCCCTGCCGTATTACTACTTTCAATTAATGGGATTTTTGTAAGCGTACAACTAATTCGGATATAACCTTAAATCTGAGAGTTTTCATCTATTTAAGTTCTCTCAGTCAGATAAAGTTCTTCATCAAAAAACCTTTGACAAAAGTTTCTCCTTTTTTATGATGGGAAAAAAAACATGTCTCCATAAAACTGGAGGCTGTCAGAAATAGCGGTTTCTAGACTTTTCTAGTGGTATGTTCCAGGTAGTCCATAAGCCACTTTGGTTGTAGTTACTTAGTATCTGTATAAATTTCATTTTTTCCTAGTAATGAAATATTTCTCAGAAACCAGTTTTGGTAAGAATTGAGTTTTTCTGGTTTGCGCGTGTTTTCACTTCAGCCTTTGCGTGATTTCTTTTTCCTGCAGCCTGACTGGCAGCCCTATTTGCCACAGAATGGAGACAACATTGAAGTTGCCTTCTCTTACTCCTCAGTGTTATGGCCTTGGTCGGGCTACCTGGCCATCTCCATTTCTGTGACCAAGAAAGCGGCTTCCTGGGAAGGCATTGCTCAAGGCCACGTTATGATCACTGTGGCTTCCCCAGCAGAGACGGAGGTAAGGACATGGCAGGGTAGTGGCTTGTTTTCTTAGCTGTTTGACATCACCTTTTGGGGAGGGACAGAAAATGCCTGGGGTCTACATTGGAAGTACAATTGACAGGCAGGCTTAGCCTTGATGGCCACAGTTGATGGTTCCAGGGCCTCTGGAGCAGCTGGAGTTTGAAGAACTAGCTCAGTCACTGAGTGCTAGTGCTTGCCATTCTGTGGCCACACAGCAGCACAGAAGACTGTTTTGTACTAGATTTCAAGCTCAAAAGGAATGTGCCAAAAATACATATTCTCTAAAAGGAAATGTGGGGTCAATCCTTTGAAGCTCTACTAGTTTTTATTAATAGAATATGCCTTAAAAAAATTTTTTTTTTGAAATGGAGTCTTGTTCTGTGACCAGGCTGGCGTGCAGTGGTGTGATCTCAGCTCACTGCAACCTCTGCCTCCCAGGTTCAAGCAATTCTCCTGCCTCAGCGTTCTAAGTAGCTGGGACTACAGGCTTGCACCACCACACCTAGCTAATTTTTGTATTTTTAGTAGAGATGGGGTTTCACCATGTTGGCCAGGATGGTCTGGAATTCCTAACTTCATGATCCTCGCCTGCCTCGGCCTCCCAAAGTGCTGGGATTACAAGTGTGAGCCACCGCACCTGGCATATTTTAAGTCTTAAACTCTTTAAGTGTTTCAGTGGACTTAGTTGTGATACATGAGTTTTACCAGACATTTGTTATTGGAAATTGTGTTCAGATTATTTAGGTTAAATTGATAAATAGAAATGATGTTTTTAAACCTGAAAGTTTTTTCTGGGCAATGAGGGCTTTTTTTTTTTTTTTTAAGTCAAAAAATGGCGCAGAACAGACTTCAACAGTAAAGCTCCCCATTAAGGTGAAGATAATTCCTACTCCCCCACGAAGCAAGAGAGTTCTCTGGGATCAGTACCACAACCTCCGCTATCCACCTGGCTATTTCCCTAGGGATAATTTAAGGATGAAGAATGACCCTTTAGACTGGTAAGCACCCCACAGATGCGCTTCACCTCCCCAGCCTCCTACTACAGAGGCACCTCTGTTCCTGCAACTTTTTTTTTTTTTCTTAAGATGGAGTCTCCCACTGTTGCTCAGGCTGTAAGTGCAGTGGCGTGATCTTGGCTCACTGCGATCTCCACTTCCTGGGTTCAAGCAATTCTCCTGCCTCAGCCTCCCAAGTAGCTGGAACTACAGGCGTGCGCCACCACACCCAGCTAATTTGTTGTATTTTTAGTAGGAACGGGGTTTCACCATGTTGGCCAGGATGGTCTCCTTCTCCTGACCTTGTGATCTGTCCACCTTGGCCTCCCAAGGTGCCGGGATGACAGGCATGAGCCACTGTGCCCAGCCCCTGCAAGTTTTAAGAAGGAGTTGTTGCTCAGCTTCTTGTGGAGCCTGGACTCTCGTGACACCGAGACATTCTGGGCCTTTGCCATGCACTACGGCAACCTGACTTTTCTTTTGAAACTTTCACAAGTATGATTGTGCAGTAAAAAGCTTGCAGTTGTCTTGAACTGCTCTCTTTTCCTTCCCTCTCCCATTGAGCCAGTCAGCAAAGCTGTCAGTCTTACCTTCAGACTACATGCTGGATCCTTTCATCCCCGGCCGTCTCTCTGCCACCCCAATCCAGGCCGTCATCATCTCCTGCCTGGACGGCATCAGTAGCTCCTGAGTGCAACTGCTGTTGCCGTTGCAGCCCTGATTCCACTCCTCTTGTAGCATCCTTGGTAATCTTGTTAAAATGCCAGTTCTAACATGTTTCACCTCAAGCTCTCCAGTGGCTGACTGCCTAATCAGACTTCCTCACCTGGCCAAGCCCCCAGGTGTGACCCCTGCCACCCTTCAGGATCTAGCACGGCTTCCCCCTTCCCTGCAAGTCCCCAAGACCCCTCTCCCTGTGCCTGTTCCCTGCAGGGGAGCTGGGCTGACCTTCTCATGGCCCGTAAGTCAGGCTCATTGCTGTGTTAATGATTGGACTCATTTGAACTGCATGCTTAAAGTAGGGGAAGGGGAAGCATTGAAAGATGTGACCAGGATAGTTAGAGTCAGACTTGGTTTTAAAAGAAGATGTCTCTGGCAGCCAGACTGGAGGGTCTCAGACCAGAGGTGGGTAGACAGGAAGTGCTGGGAAGTTCATAGACCCAGGGGAGACCATGGGCCTGCAGAAGAGTACCTGGAGTCTGTGCTGCCGAGGAGGAGGGTGCTGGGAGGCTGGGAGGTGAGAATGGGGTGATCCCAGAGGGTGTATACAGTGTCCCTTAGAAAAGTGAGCACATTTGGGAGGGACAGGGATGGAAAGCTGACCAGTCGCAGTGACATCAGTGAGCCGTGCCGCTGTCTCAGCACCGGGCCCTGCGTGGCTTCTTCCAGCATTCCTGCACTCCCGACGCCGTCTGCTCAGCTCTTTGGTCAGGCACAGATGGCTGCCAGCAGTATACACCAATGCCACTGCTAAAGTGCTGGTCCAGTACACGTTAAACATGTCTTTGGCCATTTCGTCTGGTCATTTTAGCTCTTTCATGTAAATGTCAGGCCCATGATTTCTTCTTATCAGCCGTTTCCACGTACCCAGGTCAGAGCATGCAGGTCTGCTGTAGCCGATGCCTATGGCAGTGGGCCAACCTTATAGGCCTTCTCTGTGGGCTGTGGCATGGTGCTCCTGCATAGGCAGCCCTGTGGCTGGATATGCCTTTACTGCCAGTAGAGAGATCATTTTAATGCCTTGGCTTATTGTTTTGCAGGAATGGTGATCACATCCACACCAATTTCAGGGATATGTACCAGCATCTTAGAAGCATGGGCTACTTTGTGGAGGTCCTTGGGGCCCCCTTCACATGTTTTGATGCCAGTCAGTATGGTAAGTGGCGATGCTGTGCTAGCCAGATGGCCTTTCAGCGCAGCTTGGATGTTTGTTAAATGTTTGAGAAGTGAATCCCAGTTTTCAGTGATAGGTACCAAGGGAGAAGCGCCCTGAGCCCCACAGCTGGGTGAGCCTCGGGCGAGCCTCTGAAACAGGCGTACTTTCCCATTGGGTGGTGACGGGTGTGACGTTCAGCTGAAATACAAGACTATCTGACTGACTGGAAATTGGGACATTGGTATTCTTTTTTTTTTTTTTTTTCTTTAAGTTAAAAGGAGCTCTGGCATATATTTTACTCCTTTTCACGTGAGTGAAAAATCTTTATCCTGAGCACCAGAAATGAAATCACATCTCAGTTAATCCCTGTGTATTGCTGGACCCTGGTCCTCTACTTTTTAGCCCCTTTCGAAGTGGTATAGGGAGGCACAAACCAGTCTCTTAGGTGTCAGTAACCTGAGACATGGACCCGATGACACTGCGTTTCTGCAGCGGTGGTGTCCTGCCATTCGGAGGTGACAGTTCCCAGCCTTGGTTCTTTGTTCATCAGGCACTTTGCTGATGGTGGACAGTGAGGAGGAGTACTTCCCAGAAGAGATCACCAAGCTCCGGAGGGACATGGACAATGGACTCTCGCTCATCGTCTTCAGTGACTGGTACAACACTTCCGTTATGAGAAAAGTCAAGTTTTATGATGAAAACACAAGGTACTGGTGTGCATTGGGATTTGGATCAGAAATGGGACTTTTGGGGCATTAAATTCTACCCAGCAAATACTTAAGTGATGAGTTGACCCGTTGGTGGTCTTTCCAGTTAGCAGAGACACATTCAGAGAGCTTGATTAGAAAGAAGCTCCTTCAACTGAGTGCCTGTCCTCACGCCTGTAATCCCAGCACTTTGGGAGGCTGAGTTGGGCAGATCACTTGAACCTGGGAGACTGAGGCTGCAGTGAGCTGAGATCGAGCCACTGCATTCCAGCCTTGGTGCCAGAGAGACCTTATCTCAAAAAGAAAAAATAAAGTGCACAAAAAAGAAAATAGCCCTTTGTACAGTAGAGATGTTTTTGAAAATTGCTCAGAAAGTAAGATGTTTATTGATGCTGAGTACTATTAATAATACAGAGGGTTCATGGTCTTTCCTCGTTAATCTTAGATACTTCAGCTTTAAATTTGTTTAGTTCTTTCCTGTCCTCTCTCTCTATTAGTGAGTGTATATAAATGTAAATGCACCAAAGGAACTGTTACTTAAATTATTATATATTTACAATAATTATTGTAAATAAATGTATATCTTGTATACCATAAATACATAATAATTAATTTACTTATAGTAATTCATTTACTCAAGGGGAATAATGTCCTCCCCTTGTTTGCGATCAAGGATTCCCAGTGTATTATAAATGTATCACCTTTATGTTTTGAATCTGTGACCGAACTTTTCTATGTTTCTTTCTCATCTCATTTCCTTCACTGATCCTTGCTGGGTCTAGGCTAAGCAGTTATCTATGGTGCGTTTCAGTGAAGTACTGATTTTCATTTCATAAAATAAATTTTGCTTTAATTAATTCTGCACATCACCCGAAGCATTTACATTTGCCATTTTACTCAGGCAGTTGGTTCCAGTTGAAACCTTAGTGTGGATGGACTGGATTGTGGCGGGAGAAACTGAGTTTTCACAGAGACTGACTGTGTATGGAGTGTCTTATTTGCTGCTCCCGTGTACCCGTCACTTTCACAGGCAGTGGTGGATGCCGGACACCGGAGGAGCTAACATCCCGGCTCTGAATGAGCTGCTGTCTGTGTGGAACATGGGGTTCAGTGATGGCCTGTATGAAGGGGAGTTCACTCTGGCAAACCATGACAGTAAGGTTCTGCGTGTTTTCCCAGGCCGTGGTATTAGGTGTGCAAGCAGAAGTGGCACCCTCCTGAAACCTAGGTTTCTTGAAAAAGAGAATGATGACTCCTCAGCTGGAGTCAGTGGAAAGAACTCGCCAGTAGTTTCAAAAGTACATCTATGAGGCTTTTGTGTTGTCCAGATTTTTTTAAATGAAAATATTTTATGTAGGCATTCCTAATTTTAGTGCTACCTGTAAGAGTCTTTATGTAACAGGCCCAAATAGGAGCTGCGTCATAGCTTCCATTTATTTACAAAATGTGCTTCAAGAAGTAACTGTGTTTCTCGTGTAGGAAGTTGGCGCAGGTAAGTTTTTGGTAGCTGGTTTTGAGAAGAACATCTTGAGCATTATTACTTCTCATTCTGCAGGTCTGGGCAGCTTGTTTTGAGCCATGACTGCTCTGAATTATAACATCTATTCAGAAATCTAATGTTAATAGCACTTTTTATGTGAATTGCCAAATCTCTACAGAAACCTGAGGTTAGCAGTGTTTTTTACTTGAATTTTGAGGGATTACTTGTACTTCATGTGTGACAAGGCAATAGCAGCCCCTCCCTCAAGATTAAAGACCATTTTTAAAAAATGCATAGTGTCTGAAGAATTTATTTTGAGCAAACGAGTAGCTGTGACTTGTTAAAGCGTCCAGTGTTCCTGCGTTCCTGTGACTTTGAACGTTCTTTTCTAGTGTATTATGCGTCAGGGTGCAGCATCGCGAAGTTTCCAGAAGATGGCATCGTGATAACACAAACTTTCAAGGACCAAGGTAAAGGATGCCATTAGTGGGACTTTTGCTTCTTTCTTTCTTTCTTTCTCTCTCTCTCTCCCTTTTCCCCTCCTCTCTCTCTCTCTGTATCTCTTTAATAAAAGCTTTATTGCATGTAATTTGCATGCCATAATATTTGCCCTTTTAAAGTGTACAATTCAGTGGTTTTTAGTATATTTACAAAATTGTGCAACCATCACCACTGTCTACTTCCAGAACAGTTTTATCACCCCAATAAGAAATCCCATGTGCATTAGACGTTTTGGTTTCTTTTAAAATTTGTTGCAATATTATTTGAATGGTACCCACCATAGGCAGGACTTCTCGGTAGAGGCTCTGAGGGATACTAAGGTAAGACAGCCTCTTGCTGATCATTTGAATACGTGTGTGTGTATGCGTGTGTGTGTGTGTGTGTGTGTGTGTGTGTGTGTGTGGTTTTGTGTGCAGCAACTGCTGCAAAAGAAATTGAATTCCTTCAGGAGAGGGGCAAAATTATTTATTTTATATTTTTTTAAAAAACTGCCTTCAAGGTTACTTGATTAATTTTTTGTTACCCTCTAAATTGTTTTGCTTCTATGATTGCCAGATTATTAAGGTTTTAGAAAAATTTTGACCATGTTTTGGAGTTCTGAACCATTTAAAGATAAGAAACATTCATTATACAGCAGCCTCTCAGAGCTCTCTGAAGAGTGGTGTCTGCGTGCAGTTTTGCTTCAGCTGTATACAGGCATCACTCAGGAAGGCACCGTGTCAGCCCTCCTAGAACTGGTATTCGTGATACCACCATGTGCTTAGTGTACCATGGCCACCTGGTGAGCTGGAGAGCAGTGGGAGTGAGCTGCCTCCACCTTCCCAAAAGCCAGGTGAAGGAAGGTATGGGCAGGTGAGCAGAAATCACAGCACAGCCTTCCTGTGACCTCTCACCAAGAGCTGTCATTCTGAACCACCTGCGTCTGCTCTTACACAGGGTTGCTGAGAGCTTTAAGACTGTTAAGTGCCCCAAACAATAGGCTTATGAAAATGCACAAGATCCATTTTTTTCATGCAAGTTGATACTGTGTGTTTCAGAATGAGGCCCCCCTCCATTGTAAAGGTTGCCATTTTCTCTCTGTGGATGTTAAGAATAGTTATATTACTTGGAGATGATGAAAAGATAGGATTTATCAACTTACCTACTTGCAGCTGCAATATAGAATTTATTTTTATATTATCTGGAAGGGCTTTTTTCCTTTTATCAAAACAGGGTTGATGAGTAACTGGATCTGTGTTTCACAGGGTTCTATTGAAACTTTAGGCACATAATGATTGCCTTCACAGTCACAGGCATGGTTGGCCATGGGTTAGTGATTCTTTCTCAAAGCACTCCTCGTAGACAGTATCACTTCAGGTCCCAGCTATAAACAAGGGGTCAAAGCGGTGGTCTCATTGGCTTGTGCCTTCTGGGAAATCCTTGGTTTTGGTTGGGGGGTGGGGAGATGCAAAAGTAGATTGAAGGATGCATGCTTTATTTCCGTGTTCCACTACAGAGTAAAAATGAAATCCTTTTTAAGGGCCATTTTATTCCCATAAAGGCTTTAAGTTGAATAATCTTTTGGGTACAAAATAAGAATTTGAAAATAGAAATTTGGATTATGCCTGATCAGAAAAGACCCCAATGGCAGAAATAAAACTCCTATCAAATACCGCAAGGCAAATGGCGGTGAGTGTGTTCCGGTTTCTCCTGTCTGACTGCTTCCTTCCTCCAAAGAAAAGCGTATTTTTTTTTCTACTCAGCTCCTAGTGGGATTACTGTACAGAGAGCAGGGAATGTCACGTTTTTGTAGCTACAGACATTTCAGATGTTAGCAACACAGACAATACCAGATTGTGATGAAGACGTACATTGTGTTCTGGGGCTGAAGAATGCATTTCACTGGGGCAGACACTCTTAGATTATCTGGTGGTGCCACTGATGAGGCTGCCTATGGCATTTATTCATTTTTGACATCTTGATTAATTACACATTTTAAATTATGTCATCTGGGCAAAGATAGGAGTCTGTGCTGTTGGAACATATGTCTGTGAAACTAATGTAACTGGTCTTAAACCTAAATTGAAAATATGTGAACGTACTTTTAAAAATTAGTTACATTTGTCCTAGCTTTTCATAATAAAGCATAAAACCTGGGTATTAGTATATATGACTGTATTCATAGAGAAACCTGCATGTTCAACAAGAGCTGCTGGTTGCCCTTTGTGTAGGTGTCTGAAAACATAGGCTTTTCAGGATAAGAGGGGACAAACTTCACGGTTGTTTTTTTTTTTTTTTTTTTTTTTTTTGAGATAGAGAGAGGTAGCACCTTTATAATGGTAAATATCACGTACTGCCATGGCAAGGGGAAATGAAAGTGGATATGGAAATACATGCAAAGTGAATTTTGCTAAAACAAATTAATGGTACTTAAGACATTTCCATTCTAGAAGCCTTATTCTTAAGGCTTTTCTATTCTAAACATTTGCAGTGTTTTAATTGAAGATTGGATTTCGACAGTTTGGTTTATGTGTCACGTGGATTAAATGTCAAGTGGTAAGCAGGAAATAACTCATTGCTCAACAGAAACTCTCATGCTGTTGTTTTTGTTGTGTTGTTTCAGGATTGGAGGTTTTAAAGCAGGAAACAGCAGTTGTTGAAAACGTCCCTATTTTGGGACTTTATCAGATTCCAGCTGAGGGTGGAGGCCGGATTGTACTGTATGGGGACTCCAACTGCTTGGATGACAGTCACCGGCAGAAGGGTAGGAAAAACGCAAATGGCCTTAGTGACTTCGGCACATAGATCTTTTCTTACCTTTGTCTCTGGAAAGGTGTCTGTGAGATGCTGGCAGGTCAGCTAACATCTTTTCACTTGAGCCAGGCTCAGCTGGAGAAGTTGCAGTCACTTTGATTGCTTAGAATAGTTTGATAGGTGTCTGAGTCCGCACACATTTAATAAGCAAAACAAAGCTACTTTTATGGGTCATGATGCTGCTTCTCCATCTTCACCTTTCTGAGGCCAGTGGAGGTTGGAACCCCTGCATTCTGGTGGAGAGCCCCTTCCCTGACTTCCTTGGGGCCTGCCAGTCCCAGACTTCCCCCAGCCCCGTGCTGCCTGTACTTTGTGGGCACTGCCACATGGGGGCGCCCTTCTTCAGTCTGACCCACTCTTTTCCTGGAAGGCTGGCTCTTGGCTGTCCTCCCAGACCTGGAGTTCGGGCTTTTCTGAGCCTTTATCAGTGAGGAGGAGTGTTTATTATATTGAGGTGTGAAAGGGAGGCAAACAGGAACACCAGTCCTCTTCCCTCCGCCTCTTTTTCAGTCTTGATGCATCCTTCAGATTTTGGGGCTTAAGGTTGGGCATAGACTATTCTCATTTTTTTAAAGAGGAAAAGGAATGGTAAAGCGCTTCACACTTTTACCTGGTAAGGTAACACCAGAACTGAAACCAGTGTTCTAACGCACCGCGACCGCTGGGGTACTCGGGCAGAGGGCAGGTGGTGAGTTACAAGAACAAGGCCCCGAGAGGTGTGTTTGCTCCCCTCCGTTTCAGGCTGAAGTTGACTGCCTTCCTGGCATTTATGTAAATCCCTAGACTATGATGGATCTTTTTAAAAATCAAAAGTGGTCCGGGCACAGTGGCTCACACCTGTAATCCCAGCAGTTTGGGAGGCTGAGGCCCGTGGAGATCGAGACCAGCCTGGCCAACAGAGTGAAACCCCATCTCTACTAAAAACACAAAAATTAGCCGGGCATTGTGGCACATGCCTGTAATCCCAGCTACTCAGGAGGCTGAGGCAGGAGAGTTCCTTGAACCTGGGAGGCGGAGGTTGCAGTGAGCCGAGATTGTGCCATTGCACTCCAGCCTGGGCAACAGAGCAAGACTCTGTCTTAAAAAAAAATAAAATAAAAATCAGAAGTGAGGGTTAAAGTCACAGTTACAGGAGATTAATGTTTTATTTCCACAGAGATTTTAGGACCTGAGATCTCCTGGTAAGAGGCTTTATTAAATTTTAAATGCCTGAGAGGATGGTCTAGTCCTTAAATTTAAAATGGCAGCGTTTTGAATCTTTCAGGGGCGTTAAGCACTTGACCAGAAGTGTCCTTTAATGAGAGGAAAGTAGTTAATGGCGCTTTTCTTGCAGGGATCTTGTCTAGTCCAGCTTGATGTTAATGGGACTTGAAGGGCAGATGCAGGAGAAACAAGATGGGCAGAGGAACTCCAGGTTTAAATACAGGGTGGCGCCTTCGGTTTCAGAAAGGATCCTTTGTGAACGGGAGCTGTTGCTAGCCCAGTGCCTAGACCCCGAGGTGTCCCCGAAAACAAATTGCCCTTTCTCTGCTGTCAGTCTTCCAGTGGTTGGCACCCTGCTGACTCCACGCCCAGCTCAGGTGAATAGACGCTCTATGGGTGTTGGCCTTGACTCCACCCCCTGGGGTGTCAGTTCCTTCTCTCTGGGAGAGCCTCTGGGACGCTGCAGGAGCCACGGCCCCCATTCTCCTCTCCCTCTTGCCATTGAGCCCCTGCTCTCAGGCCCTTCTTTTCTCGTGGGTGTCACGTGGTCTCACTCTCTGCAGATAAGCTCCATTCTGTCCCTGTCCATGAGGAGCTGAGTGTGGCTCTTGGGCAGTTGGTGCAGCCTGGTGGGCAGTGGTGCTGACCCCCTGGACCCTGGGGCACTGGGAGTGGAGCCCTGCTCAGCTTGTGCCTATGTGTGCTGATCTGGCTGGGCTGGGCCATGGAGAATGTCTGTCTTACGAGAACAGGGGACTCTGGAACATGTTGGATTTACTTTGACCTAAATTTGTGACTTCTGAACTCCCATTTTCCCCTCTTTTGGGGACTAACTTTAAAATAATTTCCTGTAGAGATTTCTTTTTAAAAGGTAAATCATGGGCCACGTGTGGTGGCTCACATCTGTAATCCCAGCACTTTGGGAGGTTGAGGCAGGAAGATCACTTGATCCCAGGAGTTTGAGACCAGAGAGACCCATTTCTGCAAAAAATAAAAAATTAGCCAGGCATGGTGTCATGTGCCTGTAGTTTCAGCTACTCGGGAGGCTGAGGCAGGAGGATTGCTCGAGCCCAGGAGCTTAAATCTGCATTGAGCTGTGATTGCACCACTTCACTGGGTGAGAAGAGCGTGACTCTGTCTGGGAAAAAAAAAAAAGGAATTCCTAAACAGGTTTATTGACTTCGCAGACTGCTTTTGGCTTCTCGATGCCCTCCTCCAGTACACGTCGTATGGGGTGACACCTCCTAGCCTCAGTCATTCTGGGAACCGCCAGCGTCCTCCCAGTGGAGCAGGCTCAGTCACTCCAGAGAGGATGGAAGGTGAGTGGATGGGCAGGATGCTTTGGGCAGGGAATTGGATCCAGCTGAACATGATGCTACCTCAGCCAGTGGCTGTGCCTGCCAGCAAGTGCGGCCAGTTGGTGTGCACCGCTGAGCGGTTTGCATCATGGCTGCGGGTCGACCAGCACGCAGCAGCTCTCACTTGCCGAGAGGCTATCCTTAACGTCCTCGGAGGGACATTATTGAGGGCCCAGTGTGCAGCTGCTTTCCAGTCACACCCCTTACCCTCACGTCCCCTCGAGAGTATGTTTACTGTCCTGCTCTCACAGGCAAGGACACTGGCTCCTACAGGTCCTCAGGAGGAATCACCAGTGTTTTTGAGTACTCGCCAGGTCCCGGGCAGTAGTCTGGGATGCTTCCATGGATGGCCTGACTTTCCCTTCTCAGTAATCCTGTGAAAATAGATATTATTTCCGGTTTCCAGATGAAGAAATGAGAGCTGAGAGAAATTAAGTAACTGCCTGAGATCTCCCGGGCGGTACATGATGGTGGAGCCTCCAGCTGCTTGGCACTTATCGGGGTGGGTGTAAGTGCCTGTGAGTCCCTGGCGTGCTAGCCCTTGCAGTGCTGTCCATAGAAGGTTCATGTGAGCCACTGGCGTCATGGAACATTTTCCAGGAGCTGCGTTTAAAATGTAAAAAGAAACAGATGAAATTAATAATATACTGGAGCCCAATACATGAAGAATATTAGAATGTAAACACACGATACCTTATTTCATTTGCTCAGTAGCTGCATGTGGTTGGTAGCTGCAGTGTTCAATGATGCACATCTAAGAAATAGAAGGAATTTTGAAAATGCAGAGTGGTTTTTTTGGTCAAAGAATTAAGTATTTTAGAAGAGAAGTATTTTTTTCCACGAAACCGATCTGTAGCTTACTTAGATTCCGCAAGTGTGGCCTTGCGTGTATAGTTGGTGGTCAGCAAAGGTTGACCAGCCAGTGATGTGCATACATCTGTCCATCTTCAAGAGAACAGTTAAGATTTTCTCACCCCCTTCAGCAGTGGAAGGAAACACACATTGGGAGGAACCAGTCAGGTGTGGCTCCTGCAGTGCATGGAGGACAGCTAAATCAAGCACATGGGCTCTCTGCTGTGTTGTGAGAAAGCAGACAAACTCATCGTAAAGCCCTATTTTTTTCCTTTGCATTTTAATAATAGAGATGACTTTCTTTTTTGTTGATGTTGCTGCTAACCACAGGAAACCATCTTCATCGCTACTCCAAGGTCCTGGAGGCCCATTTGGGAGACCCAAAACCTCGGCCTCTGCCAGCCTGTCCACACTTGTCTTGGGCCAAGCCACAGCCTTTAAATGAGACGGCGCCCAGGTTAGTGTCTGCCTGTGGCCTTCCACTCGTTCCACAGGGCTTACGACTCACTGCCTTTTTTATAGGAGAGAATGGAATTTTACTGACATCATTACAGAATTGCCAGATCTTCAAGCTTGTCATTTGCTATAGTTATTTAGTGAACCCCCATATTGGCCTTTGGAAATAGGCTCTTTGGTGATATACTGCATAAAAAGTGCTTTAGATAATTAGCATTTGGTTACATTTGGTTAATTCCTTTTTAAAAAGCTATGATCCAACAGTGATTACATTTGAGCTGGAGCTCTGGGTCCTGTGGTCGGGGAGCTGAGAGCTGCCGGCTGCAGTGCGTTCCCTGTTTGAGACATTAATGATAAGATACCAATAGTTCCCTTCTTCTGTCATCCCTGGGAGCTGTGGTTTCCGCCCATCCAAGAAGAGCGTGCTTCTGTGTCATTACGTCCTGTACGTACTGTGACTATGGGCGAATGTGCCTGCCTCTGATGACAGGCTGTGACTTCTGCTGCTGTCGCTGTCCGGACTCCTTCTCGGGTCTGTCTACCTCAGCTTCTTCATTTGCTTCGTTCCCTTCCGTAGCCAGTGTTTGAGTTGACCCTGCTGTTTCCCTCTGCAGCCAGGGTGAGCCAGCTCGGCGTGGCTGGTCCCTGTTTTCTCCAGGCTCTGCCCTCTCTCTTTCTCTGTGACATCGCTGGCCTGAGCAGGACAATGCAAGAAGAAAGGGGAAACTTCACCCCTGAGTAAGGGGTGAAGCCAGGGACAGCTGTCAGAGCTGTGGCCCTGGCTGGGCAGGCACACCTCCCACCCCATCAAGTGGGAGTCTTGCCCTCTGAGCCCCCCAACCGTCCGGCACCCAGCCCCTCTCCCCAGCCCCCTCAGGCAGAAGGCTGCCCTGTAGACGGCTCCCTGCCTGCCTTCTTTTCCTCCAGTGATGGCATGGGGCCAGGGACAGAGGCCCCCCTCCATCCTGTAAGGTAAAGAGGAGAATCCCCGCGGGAAGGTGGCGAGGCCGCCTTCTGCCTTTACTGATCATCGTAAACCGAAAGTGCTAAACACACCACGCAGTGACCATATGTCTTCATTTACAATATGCTTAATAGAACACAGGAAAATGGTGGAATCAGCACATTGTTGTCTCAGCAGCAGCTTTCTTCCTGAACCTTTAATTACTGGGTACTTTTCCATTGCAGTTCACATCTCATCATTTTAAAATGTCTGATAAGTTTCCATTTTTGCATCCTTTTTATTTATAACCTTCTATTAGCCTAGCATTCAAACCAGACTTTATATTCCAGCCATGGTCAGCAATTCATACTCAGTGAACAGTGTTAGCTGAAGTTCCAGAAACCCAATTATTCTATGTTGTTTAGGACATGGAGAAGCAGATAACAATATCCTTTCCATCCTTTGCTATCTACCTGTTCCCATCAAATAATCCATCGCATACTGAACTGGCCCATCCAGGAAGCTGATAATGGACAGCTCCTGGAATTTGATTTTCACAATCACTCAGTAATTTCTTCTTCTCAGTCTGCTGCTGGGTTTTACATTTATCTTGCTTTTCACATCTTCTTGAAAATTATTATCAGTCCTCAGAGCTAGATTGACACATATTCTGAATCTCTAAAAGAGATTTGATACCAGGAGACAGCTCCAGATGCCTGTCAGCCCCGTGCTGAGGGCAGGGTTCCATCTGGGAAGTGGAAAGGCGCTTTGGGTTTCTTCGTTGGGCATCAGGTGTCCATACTTGGGGCAGCTGTGGAAGTGCCAGCGTCCTCCCTGAGAGGAACCCCTGCTCCAGTGGCCTCTCAGTCCTTCCATCAGTATGCTGTAAAGCTGTGTGTACTGTTACCATGACTGCTTCACTAGAAAGTGCCATCAGCAAAGCATTAGATTATAGAACAGGATGTCGTTGTTAGGATGGAAATACAGCCCATATATATTCACTACAAAGTCATAAAGCCTAAATGTCACTGATTCCATAACTTAACACTGTCAGTTTAATTTTCAGACTGATGAAAGCTAAAGTGTAACGTTAAATCCCGTAGCATCGGACAGGTTATAATGAGTGCTCACTGGCATTCGGGCAGTTGCCGAGCTGGGAGTGTCGACTGGAGTCTCTCTCTTTCCTGCCTAGGAAACCTCTGCTCGGGCCAGCCCTTGCCCGCCATCTTGGCGTTGACTTTCAGCCTAAATGCTGATAGGATTGGACATCTTTGCTTTCACTTGCCCAGAGTGAAAGAGACAGGCCAACAGTTTCCAAACGAATAAATGACAGAAAAATAGAGAATTTGTAATTTGCAAACTAACTTCGGTGAGAGGTATTCTTTCCTCTCACCTAAGCCAGAGTAGTGCTTTTCCATCGTGTTCTCCCTCTAGCCCTGGTGTCCTTCCAAGCTCTGTGCCACTGTTGCCAGTGTGTCACCCCCTCTGTGTTCTTTGGGTCTAAGTTGTATTGGCCTGAATGAGTTTTTCAGATCCCAAAGTTAATGATGATACCACACAGTGCAGAAAGCATGTATGTTCATTTGATCGTCCCCCCACCTGCAGGCGAGACAGATGGGGACCCCGTGTTATGTTGCTCAGACTCTCCCCGCTATTGGTTTCTTGTATGTTTCGTATTCTCCCTCTAGATGGCGGTTTCTTCAAAGACAAAGGTGCAGTCTGCTTCCCCGCCCCACTTTGCCCACTCCCTTATGTGCAGTGGTTGTGGAGTCACCATTGACTCCGACTGCTCCAGGCCTCAGGGAGGCGACCTCGATGGCACGCTCTGGCCCCAGGCCCATGTCCACTCAGCAGGCTGCAGCTCCTCCCGGCCACAGGCTCCTTCCAGGGCCTCAACTGGAGTGTCCTCCTGAGTTGCTTAGTCATGTTTCCAGCTTTATGCAAAATCAGGCTCATCCTGGTCATGCTAGAATCTCACGAACAGGAATTTGACTTTGATATTTTTCTCTTGGGACCTGGAAATGGCCACCGTAGTTGCTGCTCAGTGGCATGAAAGTGGATGTGGGTGCCAACAGCGTTTTACATCTCCCTGTGGATCACTTTCTCTTTCTTGGGTATTAGTTGAACTTCCTAGACTAGTGCAATGGCTTATTTTTATTTGGTTTTCATCTGTTTTCCTGAAGTAACCTTTGGAAACATCAGAAGTTACTCTCCATTGACCTGGACAAAGTGGTGTTACCCAACTTTCGATCGAATCGCCCTCAAGTGAGGCCCTTGTCCCCTGGAGAGAGTGGCGCCTGGGACATTCCTGGAGGTGAGTTCTCGGGTGCTTGGTTATTGTGCTCAGTCTCCTATAGTGTGTTCAAGGCAGTCTCCCTCCCTCCCCCCAGGAGGCGGGCCAGACTCTTCAGTCTCTGTCCTCCTGGGAGCCATGGTGGCCTTGGCTCTTGGCTGCTTTTGTGGCACAAACCAGCATGACCAAGGGCAGGCCTGAGAGATTAGACATTGTTTCCCTTAGAAAATGCTACCTATGTGTTCACATTTGAATTTCTTTGATGATGGCCAGGTGATCTACTTAAAGATGTTCAGAATAACCTGCAGGCTCTTTATGAAAGTTCTGCCAGCCACCTATTATGTCCCTCACAGTACGCCTGTCTGCTGGTTTGGGTCCCAGGCAGTGGGAACTGCCACCCTGGCCCCCAGCCCTCAGCCCAGAAGGCCCCTCAAGTTCTCTGCCCTGCCCATCCTGGGAGGGACTTGACTGAGCTGGGGTGTGCCCCTTAGGTGGCCTGATCCTGTCTGTCTCTCCAGGGATCCTCACTGGCTACATAGACTGCCTGGGGCAGGTGGTTCTTCACTACCCAGGGCAGTTGGTACCAGGCCTTTCTCACAGAGCCCGGGCAGTTCTTTTGCTCTAGAGTCCCCTGCACTCTTCCGAAGAGTTTGCAGCTACCAAGGTGATTTCTCTGGGTTCCAGGAATTGGCCAGAAACCGGGGATAGGGAAAGGGGCACCCCTGTCCATGCAGTCCAGCCCTGGACACTGCATGGTGGTGCCAGGGTCCTGAGGGCCTTGCGCGCATGTCACGGGTGCGCTGAGGGTACATTCCGGAGCCCTTGGCACTGCCCAGTCAATCGTATTGACGTTCTAAACCAAGGGTTCTCTCATAGCCTCTCCTGGTTTTCAGCCACACGTCCCCTCCATGGAGGGCTTTCTCCAAGGTGGGCACTGCCCGAGGCTCTTCTTCCATCATGCCTCCTTCCTCTTCCTCCAACTCAGCCGGAATCTCAGACCCCTCCTTCTTTCCTGGATTGAGACGTGGCCATCTTCTCGTCTTTTTAGGGAAACACAGAGCGCCTCTGGGCCTCCGTTCGGTAGGTTGTAACAGAAGCATAGCTGGGCCTGATCATCTGTCTGCAGGGAGCCCAGGGAGGAGGCGCAGCAGAGACCTCTCCGAGACCTCCTTCCCCACAGGAAGTGGCTTCTCAGCAGACTGGGAACGTGGCTGCTCTTTCCTCTCATCTACTCTTTATTAATGGCCTGGGTTACTTTAGCTAAGGCTTAAAAATGGTGTGTGTCCTGCAAGCCCAGCTAATGAAATTAGCTTGCATTTGGTTTCTGATGAATCTAGCTGTCATAGAAAAAGGCTGTGATGGTAGCTCTGTGGTTTCCTGCCTGTTCACTGGCTGTCTTCTTGCAGGGATCATGCCTGGCCGCTACAACCAGGAGGTGGGCCAGACCATTCCTGTCTTCGCCTTTCTGGGAGCCATGGTGGTCCTTGCATTCTTTGTGGTACAAATCAACAAGGCAAAGAGCAGGCCGAAGCGGAGGAAGCCCCGGGTGAAGCGCCCACAGCTCATGCAGCAGGTTCACCCGCCGAAGACCCCTTCAGTGTGACCGGCAGCCTGGCTGACCATGAGGGCCAGAAAGCCTCCACGGACAGCACTGGGGGGTGAGCCGAGCTGTGGCGGCTGCTGGTGTAAAAGGGGTCCAGTTTCCAGCTGCAGGTTTGTTAGAGTCAGTTCTACCTGGGCCTGCCTTCCTGTGATGGGCAGAGGCTTCCGGGACATCGAGAAGAATCCTGTGGCCGTGGGTCCTGTCCTGTCAGGAGGCACTCTGGCTCGGCCGCCAATAAGACTTCCCACTGGGCAGCTGTGTGCACCAAAGACTTGGGAGAACCTGGAAAGGCTGACGGGTCTTCTGACTGGAGAGGAAGGATGTACTTTCCAAGTGATACGACCCTGACGAAGCTCAGATACACTTGTTAAAGGCTATTTTCTATATTTATTGTTGGGGAAAAAGTCACTTTAAAGACTTGTGCTATTTGGAGGCAAAGCTATTTTTTTTGTCAAATGAAATGCAGTTTTTTTTTACTATTACGTCATGAGGAACAACCCAGATTCCATGATCTTTTTAATGAAAGGACAGACTGAGATTTGAAGGAAACTTGCATAAATCTGTGAAACATAGACCTTCGCTTTATTTTTGTAAGTATCACCTGCCATCATGTTTTGTAATTTGAGGTCTTGATTTCACCATTGTCGGTGAAGAAAATTTTCAATAAATATGTATTACCTGTATGAAGCTTAAAGGTACGGTGTCCAGACTTTCCACTTGTCCCATTCGTCTTTGATGACAATCTGGAATGGGTTCTGACTCAGCCTGCTAAATTTTTTAATGGAGACATAATGCACAGAACATTCTCCATTTATAGTGTACAGCTCAGTGGTTTCTGGTGTCTTCCCAAGGTTGTACGGGCTCCGGAACACTTCCATCACCCCCAGAGAAAACCCCGCACCCACCAGCAGTCACCCCCAGTCATTCCTGCCCCCAGGCTGCTGGCAGCCAGTCTGCTTTCTGTCTGTGGATTGGCCTGTTGTGGACATTTCCTTTACATGGAATCCACAGTACAGGGCTCTTTGGGTCCAACTTTTTTCACTCTCTATCGTGTTTTCAGGCTTCTTTGACCAGCGCTGTAGCAGGCATCAAGACCTCATTCCTGCCTGTGGCTGAGCCGTGTCCCCTGGTGTGGCTAGACCTCTCTCGTCTGCAGCTGGTGGACATCTGAGGTGTTTCCACTTCGTGGCTGCTGTGAACAGCGCTGCTCTGAGTACTTGTGAACGGGGTTTGTGTGAACGTAGCTGTTTCTTTATTTCTGTTGGGAGTGCACCTAGCTGTGAAATCATACCACTTTGTGTTTAACTTTCTGAGGAGCTGCCAGATTTTCTTTCCGGAGCCGCGGCACCATCTTGCATTCTTGCCAGCTGCGTGAGAGTTCCACTCTTCACATCCTCATCAGTACTTGTAATTCTCCGTCTTTCAGATGCTACCATCCTCCTGGGTACGCAGCGCGATCTCATGGCAGCTTTGACGTGCATTTCCCTGAAGACTAATGACGTTGAGTGTCTTTTCATGTGTTTACTGGCCATTTGTCTGTCTTCTTAGGAGAAACGTCTGTTCAGAGCCTTTGTCCATATTTGATTTGGGTGGTCTTTTCATTACTGAGCTGTAAGAGTTCTCATACGAGTGATGTAACTTGCAGATATTTTCTCTCATTCTTCGGGTTGTCATTTCACTTGATGCCATCCTTTGAAACATAAAGGGTTTTCATCTTGAAGTCCATCTTTTCTGGTTTTTCTTCGGTTGCTTGTGCATAAGGGGTCACATCTGAGAAAGCATTGGCTGATCCCAGCAGCGTGTTCATCTTCGATCCCGGCCTGAACAGCATCTTTTCTGTATGCTGACTGGCCGAACGCCGGCCCGCACAGCACAGGCACGTGTGACGAGGAAGGAGGGCAGAGGCCGTGTGGGCACCGATCAGGGTGCTGCTGAGGTCACGGGCAGAAAACATCCCAGCCTAAGTGGGGAGGAGCCACCCAGGCCCACTGTTCCTTGCGGTTCTTTTCATCCACGTCAGGTCACGTGCTCACCTTGCAGCTCTCACGGCACTCTGACCGCATTGCTTCAAGACTCCAAATGTGCTGCTGAGGCCCTGCAAAGCATTTGCTCCTGTCCCAAGGGCTTAAGGCCTCACAAGCAGCCCGTGGGCTGCGGGCATCTGGCGCTCAGGAGCCCCCCGTCCTTAGGTGGCTGTGGCTCTGAGCTGCTTGCTCTTCTTATCTACACTTGGGTCTTGCCTGCTGTTGGCTCTGGAGCCTCTCCTCTCACAGGTCTGTGGATGTGGGCTGCTCACCCTCTGCTGCTCGGGACCATAAAGGGCAGGGTTTTGTTAAAGGTTTCCCCTCAAACCAGGAGGCGAGGACCCTTTCTGTCCAGTTGCCAGAATGATGTCATGAGGAGCTGTGTGCCAGGCACACTGTGCTGGTTATAACACGAGCTTCTAATTCATCCCCCACACGCTGTACGGGAGGCATCGCTGGGCCCATCGCACCCATCAAATGGCAGCCCGGAGGTTGCGCATCGCCTGCACAGTCACACAGCTAGTGGCCAAGGCAGAATGTGCCCTCATGTTGCCCTCAGCTCTGAAACCTGGGTACTTAACCCATGTTCTCTCCTGCTGGCATCTGTGTGATGTCCCATGTCTGTCTGCCTCTCTCTAAAGGGACACCAGGAGGATACCCAGATGCTGGGGGGCCTTGGGACAGAGTCCTAGGAGGATGGAGTGAGTGAAGGAACAGGCGAGGGTGAGCCTGGAGCGAGAACCTGGCGGGAGAGCTCATGTAGAAAGGGAATTGGGTCTTGGGGAGGAACCGGATCCGTGTCACTTGTTGAGGTGGCCGAGTCTGGCATTCAGATTTGCCGTCCCACGTAAGTGGCCCTGGAGGGAGCCCCCTTGCTGGGTGGTGGCTGTGGGATTCTGGGGTATGCCTTGGAGAATGTCCTGGGGAGGATGTCATGGCCCTGGCCCTATACTCAAGCTGCCTGGGTCCCCTTCAGCCCGGCCACCCCTGCTGTGGGCCCTAGCCAGGGGCCGGCACGCCAGCAAACGCTATGTGTTGGGTACGTGGTGACACCCAGGCCACGTGCTTAGCCATGTGCCTGACAACCAGTGCCGATGTCTGCCACTCACAGGGACACACGTGCCTGGAGGTTGAGGCCACGTTCTGTCACCCAGGCCTGCTCATGTGGTCCTGGGCTGGGCCAGCTCCCCCCTTAGAAAGGATTCCTTTATTTCCTTTATGCCCCTCATTGTCCTAGTGAACAGCTACATCTTTTTAAAAAACAAAGGCTAGGTGCAGTGGCTCTGCCTGTTAATCTCAACATTGGGTGGCCGAAGCAGGAGGATCACTTGAGGCCAGCCTGGGCAACGTAGCAGGACCCTGTCTCTACAAAAAAACAAAAAAGACCACAACCACAACCACAGACACACACCTGGGGTTCACAGGAGGCCTGGGGGCCCGGAGAGGGGTCTGGTGTCATCCTTCGCCCTGGCTGTCCCTAGAAACTCACCAATGGCTTGACTGCAGGAACTTTTAAGATGAGATGCAAATGGTGACTCCTCCTTAGGCTCCCCTGTTCGGGACACCCCTGTCTAGATATTTCTTTGCACAACACACTTGTCCGTTCCATGCAGAACATGTCCCACATATGATGGCTCCGGGGAAACCTCCTGAGAAAGTCATGCCCAGTGGGTGAGCCTGGCCCACAGCCATGCCCTGGCACCTGCTGAGCCCTTGCCTCTGGGTCCCAGGCCAGTGGTTCACAGGCATGATCCCTCCCGGGGCTCTCAGAGCTGTTTCTCAGGAGGAAACCCAGGTCTGGCCTGGCTTGAGCTCTGAAGCCCTCAACGCCAGACTGCCTCCCTCCCGCAGCGGGCGGAGAGCGCTGCTTGCTGGAAATAACGGGAGTGTCATCTGAGATTTTGGTTTCAGAGGACACAAAATACAGAGTCAAGGATACGCAAAAGGTTTGTCTCCCTTTTAATATGCAGATTACATAGACGTTTCTAGAGAAATACTGAAATTCTTGATTTTAAAAAAATGGTTGGCACCACCCCCTTAATTGGATATTAAATCACCGAATGTTGGTTTCATTTGCTGGTAACAAGAAGGCATTGCAGGCAGGTATCCTAGAAACCCAGATCTCTGGCCCCACCCCAGCTTGACTAGATCATCTGTTCCTTGGGAATGGCCTAGGAATTTGTTTTAAAGCTCCTCAGACCAAACAATTACCCAACAATCCCACTCCTCAGGCTGTATCCAAAAGAACTGAAAATAAGGTGTTCAAACAATAACCTATACGTGATGTTCACGGCTGCACTGCTCACAGTAGCCAGAAGGCGGGGCCAGCCCACACGTCTGGCAGTGATGATGGCTGGACGAAGGTGGCCTCTCCATGCCACTGAACACAGCGTTAAAGAGAAACGAAGTTCTCACACCTGGTCCCACGTGAGGGAACCCCGAAAACAGGCTGAGTGAAAGAAGCCAGACACAAAAGGGCACATCCTGTACAAGGCCTCATCTTGTATGAGAAGTATCTACAGTAGACAGATTTCACAAAATCAGGAAGTAGATTCATAGTTGCCAGGAGCTAGGGGAAGGGATCTTCCTCTGGGGATGCCAAAACTGTTCTGGAATTAGATAGTGGTGACACTGGCGCAACACTGGGAGTACTTAAAGCCACTGGACTGCACACTTTAAAATGGTAAGCCCCAGAATGTAGTTCAGTGAATTTTATGTCAATTCTAACACACGCACTCCCCTCCCCAGAGGATTCTGCAGAACAGGCAGCCCCCTTGGGGGCCATGGCTGGGAAACTGGGAGAGGTTATTGTGTGCTTCTGATCCCCAGTGTCTGTGTGGACCTAAGGGTCAGAACTCCATGGATGAAGACCCTGTGGGCTCAGCCTTGGCACCACACTCTCCTCCCTGCCCTCTGCCCCCAGCTCTGTGTTGGCTGCTGACCGCCCCCTGCTGCACCCCCTGTGTTCCCTCCATTGGACACAGAGGCAGGAGGAGAGTGAGCCTGAAGGACGCTTCCTTTCACTCCCAAGGTTCACCCCTTGACTGCTTTACCCAGAGCAGGTCTCCTGACTACAACGCTGAAGCAGCAGCCCCCAGGCAGGGACTTCGAGACACAAGAAGGCCTGTGCCCTGTGGCTGTGTCCCCTGAAGGACCTGGCCTCTGCTGCCACAGGACGGGGAGCCCACCGGCCTCTCCTGTCAGAGCTGCCCAACGATCGGGATTCAGGGTGCTGGTGTATGTGGTTCCTATTGCTAGCTGGACAAACTACCACAAATTGAGTGGCTCCTGCAGTTCCAGAGGTTGGAAGTGCAAATTCAGGCTCACTAGACTACAATCAAGGTGTGCGCTGGATTGGTTCCTTCTGGAGGCCCCGAGTGAGATCCCACTTACCTGCCTTTCCCTGCATCTGGTGGCCATGGTCTCCTCTGTCTTCCAGGCACACCTGTGCAGCCTCTGCTTCTGTCTCCACACCACTGTCTCCTCTGACTTCTGGCCCCTCCTGCATCCATGTTAGAAGGACACTGAATACATGTAGCACCCACCTGGGTAGCCCAGGGTCCCCTCTCCACAAGGTGCTTTATCTCCTCTCCAAAGTTCCTTTTTCTACTAGGCCTGGAAGTGTGAACAAGGACATCTTTGAGGCCATCATTTCACTGACCATGTGTGGTTTCTCTGTCCCTAAGGCATCTGTCTCCCATGCGAGGACTTTGGGTCCCTGATAATTGCTGCAGGTGGAGCTGCTGCCCTTAAAAGTCTGTGGGCTCCTCCCGCCATCTGAGAAGGCCGGGCAACTCTGCTCCCACATGCTGGGCTCTGTGCTGTTTACTAAGCAGCCTTCGTTGGCCAGGCCCAGGCTGGGGCTGAGAGCTTCGGAGAAAGGAGGGACTTCACGCTCGCTCGAAGACAGCAGGGTCACCAGGAGACCCTGCCTGCCCAGAACTGGGTTCTCCACCCTGACAGCATGGTAGACTAGACCCTCCTGGGGGAGCTTCATACAAATGACTGCCCATAATCCCTGCACTTTGGGAGGCTGAGGCGGGCAGAGCACCAGTGGTCTGGAGTTCAAGACCCGCCTGGCCAACATAGGGAAACCACATCTCTACTAAAAATACAAAATTTAGCTGGGCGTGGTCGTGCACATCTGTGATCCCAGCTACTTGGGAGGCTGAGGCATGAGAATCACTTGAACCCATGAGGTAGAGGCTGCAGTGACCCGAGATCATGCCACTGCACTCCAGCCTGGGCAACAGAGTGAGATTCTGTCTCAAAAACAAAAAACAAAAAAAAAAAAGAAACTTCTGACGCCCAGTCCTGCCCTAGGCTGGTTTAATGTGCAGCTCTCTGGGTGGGTTTGGCATTGGTAGTGTGAAAAGTCCCAAGGCGGTTCTTGGGTCCCTAAGGTTCAGAACACTGTTCTAGAAGCTCTGAATTGGGCCCAGGTGAAAACAAATTCAGATAGGAGTATGGCACACACTTGTTTCAATCTCTGCAGCTGCCACGGGCCACTCTTGTGCCACATGCACCTTCCTCCGGCCCCTCCTGACAGCCCCCGAGATCAGGCGCCCATGTCCTCCCATTTCACAGCTGACTCAAGTGAGACAGGTCTGAGACTCCAGAGCCAGGGTGAGGAGGACACCGTGCGCTGCAGCCCACTGGCCCCTGAGGGCCTGCCCTCATCTGTTCTCCAGAATTTTATTTATTTATTTATTTTTTATTTTTTATTTTTTTTTCCTGAGACGGAGTTTCACTCTTTTGTTCAGGCTGGAGTGCAGTGGCATGATCTCGGCTCACTGCAACCTCCACCTCCCAGGTTCAAGCAATTCTCCTGCCTCAGCTTCCTGAGTAGCTAAGATTATAGGCACCTGCCACCACCCCCAGCTAAGTTTTGTTTTTTTGGTAGAGACAGGGCTTTGCTATGTTGGCCGGGCTGGTCTCAAACTCCTGACCTCAGGGATCCGCCCGCCTCTGTGTGAGCCACCGCACCTGCATCTGTTGTCTGGAATTTTCTAATGGATGGTCTGGGAAATGATCAGAGGCCTCTTTGTCGTGAAAGTTCCTAAGCCTGTCACCTGATTCTGGAGAAGGAAGGGAGGGTCCTCAGGAGCTCCCTTGGTGGGGTGAGTCCCTGCAGCATCTCGGAGAAAGGCTGGGCCATGCTGGGTGATCCCGTGCAGGGCAGTGTGGGCCACGGCTGGCTGCATCCACATGGCACCTCTGTGCAGCCTCCTCATGCTCCTGCTTCGCCAGAAACAGTGCCAGGCCCAGGAGGGGGGGGCCAACTGAGCAGAGGGTGGCTGCCCACCCAGCAGCTGCAGATGGAGCCCAGCAGGGCGCCCCTCCACAGCTCGGGAAAGGTCACACAGCCCTGTGATGCCAGCAGAGGGTAGATATCAAAGTCCCTCCGAATTAAGAGGTTTTCCCCATTGCCTGGAATTTCACAGCCTGGTGGCCAATTTCTAAGTCATGCACGTTAATGGGCTGCTAATGAGGGACCCACCGGCAGGGACAGGGAAGTGTCCCCCAATCCCCCAGTGGAGATTAAGGAGTATAAAGCCCCCAGCTGCTGATGAAGGCCCCTTTATCTCCTTTCTCGAGAGGCCGGATTTGGGGGAAGCGTGAATGACTTAGCCTCTCTGGCAGGCCTGGGAGAGCTGCGTGAACACTGAGTGTGGCCCCGCCCTCCCCCAGCCTGGGCTACTGCACAGCCCTGGCCTGCCGTGCCACCCACAGCCCCTGCCTTCCTTGCTGTGTCCAGTGCCATGTCCACATGGTTTAGTGACCCTCCAGCAAGTGGGACACGGTGTCTAAGCCTTTCCCAGCTCAGCCCTGACCAGGGTTTCTATCCTAGGGAACCCCCGTCCACTGTGGGCCTTCCCAGAAGCACTGGCTCATGCCTCTGGCAGGAGGAGTCTCCACTTCCCAGAACATCCCCCCAGCCCTTCACCACCGATGCACAGACATCTCCTCAGCCCACCACACCTTCTCCAGGAAGCCCTTCCAGATTTGTCTCCCTTCTTGGGTCTCATAGTCCAGTCCTTCTCCCATTGGGCTGGGGTGGCTTGTGTGGTCTTGATCTCCCCACGGGACCATCCCTTTCTCTGGAGGAGAAGCCGTGTAGCCTGCGACTGTTACCTTATTTGGAAAAAGGGTCTCTGTGGATGTGATGAAGGAACTTGAGATGCGATCAGCTTGGATTACCCAGCTGGGCCCTCTGAAAAGAGAAGACAGAGGAGAAAGCCAAGGGAACATGGTGCTGGCACAGACAGCAGGGATGCAGCCGCCAGCCAGGAAGCTCCTGAGCCCCCAGGAGCGGGAAGTAGCAGGAAGGATCCTCCCTCCATGGCCTCCAGAGCGAGCATGGCCCCCTTTCTACCTTGACCGACTTCTGGCCTCCAAGGCCATGACAGAGTAACTTTCTGTTGTTTTAAAGCCACCGAATCTGTGTTGGCAGCTTCAGGAGCCTAGCAGCGGAAAAAGCAAACGATGTTCCCTTTCCTGTCTTTTCTGGCTTCTGTGAATTCATTCACTCACTCACACACACACTCACTCATTCGGGCAGAGTGCTTGTGGTAGGAGGCTGTGGGACATTGCAGCCTCCAAGAGGAGCCTGACTCTGGGTGAATCCCAGCTTTGTCGCTTACCAGCTGTGATACTGGGAGCCATGTGCTCCACCTGCCTGAGCCCAGATCCTGCATGGTATGGGGTGGGAGTTGCAGGACAGTGGGGACACCTGCTTGGGAATCCGTGTGAACTTAAGTAGGCTGGGTTCTGTGACACATTTAGTGGGCAGTGGCGTGAATGCCATCCGGGCCCCGGTCCAGCCTCGATATCTAGGACTGCAATCCCAGCTCCCTTTCCCTTGCCCCTGCTGAGAAGCTGGCCACTGACTCTGCTGGTAGAGCATTTCTGGAGCAGCCGCGGTGTGAGCCGAAAAGGTTGGACAAGGCTGCTTATCAGGAAGTAACAGGAGTCGGGGGTGGGGGCTGGTCTGGTGTTGGACCAAGAAGTACTGACTTGGTGCAGCGGGGCTTTGGGCATTGAAGACATTTAACTTAAAGCAGCGGTTCTCAACAAGGGGCTGAACCAGGGGTGCTGGAGTCACCTGGGAACCTGTTAGAAAGCCAGGTGACCAGACGCACCCCAAAGCCACTCAGTCAGAAACACAGGTGGGGCCTGGTGGTCTGTGTTTGAACAAGCCGTCCGGGGATTCTCAGGCAAACTGGAGTTTGAGAATGCATGTGAGAGGGATCCTGGGTTCCAGGAATAAATGGTCAGTTTCCAGATCTGCCTGCATGTGCCTGCATTTTCCAGAATGGGGCCATCTCCGATATTCGGCCCCGCTAGCTGACCGCGTGTCGGAGACTCTCACTACGCAAGCAAGTGCAGCTGCCACTCCCCCGAGCGTTCACCAAGCCCCACAGGTGACTCATGTGCATGGGATTAACTTGAGGTGCACCTGCTGTAGTTGGGAGGTGGAGGTGAAGAAAACCACCCCGGGTGGGGGAGGGGGCGAGGGGAAGCACCTGCGGGCTGTGGAGCCTGTTCTGCAGATGAAGGGGCTGGTTTCTGCTTTTCACGACTCCTCCCTGGGCGGGGGGCCTCAGGGAGGCTTCTGAGGGCGGAAGCGCTGAGATCAGGTGCCTGCTCCCCCACCACAGCTTGCTGTAGCTCTCCAGAGCAGCTGAGAAAGCCCCACCCCTGGGCTGGGCCTGCAGGGGCTGGGAGTAGGTAGGAGTCTTAAGCTTCCCTTGCTCAGGTCAGAAGTCTCAAAAGCTGCAAATTCTTGGGACCCAAGGCCCTGACCACTTGTGGCTGTCCTCCTAGATGTGGGGGGGGCCTGACCCTGAAGCATACCCGCTAGGAATCGTTTAATTCATGACACACTTGCCCCTGGCCAAGCTAGAATTTTCCTTTTCCCACCCCTCCGGCCCCAAGAAATCCAGCTGAGCCACCTGGAGTGAGCCCGAGTCCCGTCCCCGAAGGCCAAGGACTGTCCACAACTTAAAGGCTGGATTTGGTGGTAAGGAACAGGGGTTGGGGCTCTGTCTGTGCAGAAGTGTGGCTGGAAGCAAAGGAGGTGCATGGGAATGGGGGGAGAGAGGATCGATGGGGAAGAGAGAGGGAGGGGGCAGGGTGAGGTTGCCTTGGGGTCCAGTGGGAGAGCAGGATTGAGATTTATGCATGTAGGGAATGGGATGAGGAGGGGGACCAGAAGTCATGAGCAGATGCACTGAGGCACCCTTTGGAAAGGGGAGCCGAGGCCAGGGAAGTGGGCAAGAGAGGCTCAGGGAGGGCTCACTGAGTCGGGGAGAGACACTGAGTTGGCGTGCCTGTGTTTGGACCAGCCCTCGCTGAGGATTCCTGGAACTTAGGAAAGAAAGTGTGAGGTGACACTTTCCACCTCTGCTGCCTTGAGCCATGGAGGGACAGACCCCAGAAAGCAGAGGTCTTCCAGAAAAGCCCGACCCTGCCGCGACCGCTGCCACTCTGTCCTCCATGGGTGGTGTCTTCATCCTCTTGAAGTCTGCGCTGGGAGCTGGCCTGCTCAACTTTCCCTGGGCCTTCTCCAAAGCGGGCGGTGTGGTCCCTGCCTTGCTGGTGGAGCTGGTAAGTCCCTAGGAAGTGCGTCCAGGGGACGGGTAGCAGGTGGCTTTGTTTTTTCTGGGTGGGGTTCTTCGCATCGCTTTTGCGGAGTTGTGTGTCCCATAAGCTATAGCTTTGGGGTTTTATTTTCTATCCCACTGCAGTCCCAGAGGGAGAACATCCCCTACGGGCACTGGTGAGGTCTGATACGTAGCTCGCGGGATGGAGCTGTAGGCATCGCAGCTCCCGTATGTGAAGTGGGCATTTCATTCGGGAAAGAGCCTCTCCAAGCACCCTGCCTGGCCAGCTGCTGGCTCTTGCCTGCTGGTCTGAGCTCATAAACTAAAGCTGGGCCAGGCACAGTGGCTCACACCTGTAATCCCAGCACTTTAGGAGGCCGAGGCGGGCAGATCACCTATGCTCAGGAGTTCAAGACCAGCCTGCTCCACATGGTAAAACACAGTCTTTACTGAAAATGCAAAAATTAGCTGGGCATGGTGGCAGGCACCTGTAATTTAAGCTACTCAGGAGGCTGAATCAGGAGAATTGCTTGAACCTGGGGGGTGGAGGTTGCAGTGAGCCGAGATTGTGCCATTGCACGCCAGCCTGGGCGAGAGCGAGACTGCATCTCAAACAAACAAAAAACAAGCCTGGACTCCTGTGTGCAGATTGAGCGTAAACTGGTGTGACACCCCCATGCTCCCCACCCAGAGCACAGCCGGGCGTTGCTTGGTGTCAGGTGTTCCGCCCTTCTGCCTGCCAGGTGTCCAGCCGGGGTTCCCTTCTGGGGAAGCACAGACGCAGAGCTCTTTGCTGGGGGAGAGCCACTTGTGAGCACAGCTGTATCTTATTTTCTAAGATCTCGTTCCCCGGGCTGATGGAAGGAGTTGCTGCCTTTTGTGGTAAGCTCCTTGGCGGCTTTCTCTCCTGAGTCCTATGGCAGCTGGTGGATAATGGCTGAGTTCCAGCTGTTTGTGGGCCCTGAGTCTCCTCGTGTCTGTTTGGAAAGGCAGTGTTGGGTGTAACCTGTGCCACCCCTGGCATTGGCCTAGCCCAGGATGGATGAGGCAGTGGGGTCCCTGTCCTCCTGGAGCTTCGTTCTAATGCAAATTCAGACAAGACGCACGGCATCAATTTCAGATGGTGGATCATGCCAGGGCGTGTTGGGTGTCTCTGGGGATGGGGGTATGATACGGCGTGGGGTGGTCAGAAGCCTCTTGGAGGAGGTGACCTTTGCGGTGAGCCCTGTTGGAAATGGCAAGAGCTTCCTGAGATGCACATGAGAGGCGGCATGCCTGTGTTTAGACTGGTACTTCAGGAAGGCTTGTTACAGCGATGGGGGAGAAGCCCAGTCTCAAGCCACAGAGGGCACATGGAGAGGAGATGGAGCTTGGGGTAGGGTCGTGGCCAATCCCAGGGCAGCAGGAAGCAATGTGGGCCAGAGGCGGGGATCCCTGCTCCAGGAGCTTCCCAGCCCTGTCTGCGCATCTTGCTGAAATGCAGATGCTGGTGTTGGAACCTAGCGAGCACAGAATCACCACTGAGACAAAAGTAAGCCAATTCAGAGGGTCATTTATTGCCAGCGACCATGGAGGACTTGTGTCTCTCCAACCCGTGGCCCCGAAAGGAGGATGTCAAGACCTTTTATGACTGTAACTACCTCCTGGGCCGGGGTGGGGGTGAGGGGCTTTGGACATTCTGAGGGCCAGTGGACTTTGGACATTCTGTAAACCCCTTCCTGGGCAGGGGTGAGGGTGAGGGGCTTCGGACATTCCGACTGTTACTTAAGTGGTTCACAGAAGTCAAGATAAGCATTAGTTTACACATTGCCTGGGTAGGGTGGAATTTGCAGACTTTATTTACTTATTACAAGTCGCAGAGGCCAAGATGGTGTGGGTTTGGATTGCTTGCCTGTCACATCAGGGTTACAGAGAGCAGGTTCAACAGAAAGCCGCCATATGGTTGAGGTGTGCACTTTGATGGGGCATTTACCATGTCACACTGGCCCTGCAGGTCTCGGGTGAGCTGAGACTGAGTGTCTCACTTGCTTTGGGCAGACGGCTGTTTTGCATAGGATGACCTCTGGAGGTCAGCAGACTCGAGGAGGGAACCCAGACATGAATAAATGGAAACTCTCGCAGAGCAGAGGAGCCAGGCTGGCTCTTGACAAGCTCCCGCCACCCCAAGTTGTTCCTTTAATCTCCAGGGCTGCCGGGCTGGATGTCACTGTGAATGACAGAAGATCTGGGGGAGCCTGCTTCCCCCCACTTGGCTGGTGAGGCTTCTGCATGGGGAGCATTTACACGTGAAGTCAGTGGGCAGAGGTTACAGGCCTGACTCATTAGGGTTGGAGGTTTAGCCACATTTGATGAAAACCGTCTAGGGCCATACCACTCTGGACACACCCGATCTCATCTGATCACAGAAGCTAAGCACGGTTGGGGCTGGTTAGTGCTTGGATGGGAGACGTTCCATGAAAATGGGCAAACCCCCTCTTGGGACCTGTGGAGAGGCCGGGGCCTGGCACGGCAGGCAGGGCTTCTTGCTGTTCTGCTGCCTGGATGTGACCTGTCCAGGGATGGCTCACAGGTGAGGCTTCCTCGCTCCC